AACATGGGTTCAGGGATGGCAAGTCCGGCCTCACAGGATTAATTGAATTCTTTGACCAGGCATCAAAAATCGTGCAAGAAAGAGAAGGGTGGGCAGACTGCATATTTTTGGATTGTCAGAAAGCTTTGACACAGTACCACATAAGAGACTAGTGCACAAGCTGGAGATGCAGGCGGGAGTGATAGGGAAGGTACTCCACTTGATAAGGGAGTACTGTACCTAAGCAACAGAAGACAGCGAGTCACTGTGAGGGGTGAGGTCTCAGATTGGCGAGACGTCACAAGTGGAGTTCCGCAGAGTTCAGTCCCTAGACCAATACAGTTTCTGATATATTTATATGATCTCCCAGAGGGTATAGACTCGTTCCTCTCATTGTTTGCTGATGATGCAAAGATTATGAGGAGGATTAAGACGGAGGAAGATAGTATGAGGTTACAAGATGACCTAGACAAACTGAATGATTCAACAAATGGCTACTAAAGTTCAACCCGAGTAAATGTAAGGTAATGAAACTAGGCAGAGGAAAGAGGAGGCCAGACACAGGATACCGAATGGGAGATGACGTCCTTCATAAAACGGACAGAAAGATAGACAGAAAGAGTTGATATCACACCAAACTTGTCTCCTGAAGCCCATACAAAAAGAATAACATCGGCGGCGTATGCAAGGCTGGCTAACATCAGAACTGCCTTCAGAAACCTGAGTAAGGAATCATTCAGAACCTTATATACCACATATGTAAGACCAATTCTGGAGTATGCAGCCCCAGTATGGAGCCCGTACCTTGTCAAGCACACGGCGAAGCTTGAAAAAGTTCAGAGGTATGCCACTAGGCTAGTCCCAGAACTAAGAGGCATGAGTTACGAGGAAAGGCTGCGAGAAATGCACCTCACGACTCTGGAAGACAGAAGAGTATGGGGAGACATGATCACTACCTACACAATTCTAAGAGGCATTGACAGGGTAGATAAAGATAAACTTTTTAACACTGGTGGTACTCGAACAAGGGGACACAGGTGGAGACTGAGTACCCAAATGAGCCACAGGGACGTTAGAAAGAACTTTTTCAGTGTCAGAGTAGTTAACAGATGGAATGCATTAGGCAGTGATGTGGTGGAGGCTGACTCCATACACAGTTTCAAATGTAGATATGTAGAGCCCAGTAGGCTCAGGAATCTGTACACCAGTTGATTGACGGTTGAGAGGCGGGACCAAAGAGCCAGAGCTCAACCCCCGCAAGCACAACTAGGTGAGTACCCTGTTTGTGAGTACAAGTTGGTGAGTACTCAATGTATGCACACACACATGTCTTTATGCATATTACATGAAGCCATTGTGTGAATTATATTTACACAATGGTTTATATTGTGTAAATATAATCTTATATTGTGTAAACATAAAAGCTTGGCATCACAGTTGTATATTTACACAAAGTTTAAGCCAAATTAACTCATAATTCACTTGAACCAAAATTATTCACTATACATACAAAACATACAATGTTAGTTTTAAATGAAATGCGAGCTATTGTATCATAAATGTTGTGTGTGAACTGTCAGGGTTCGGGAGTGATGCGCTGTGAGTCGCTGCGACGGTGATGTCAACGCTTTTCTCTCTCAGAGAAAACAGATTTGTGAGATTTTCTCATATATAACGTTAGTGTGATTTCTCTGCGACTTTTTGTTCCTTCAGATCTTGTTGATGTTGGTCGCCCTCGCTGCCGCGGACCCGAAGGCTGCCCCAAACCCTAAGGCAAAGCCAGGCATCGGCTTGGGTCTAGGGGCTCTTGGCCCCTTAGGGGGTCTTGGGTACGGCCTCGGAGGTCTTGGAGGACTCGGAGGAATCGGATACGGTCTTGGAGGACTAGGAGGAATCGGACACGGTCTTGGAGGACTCGGAGGAATCGGATACGGTCTTGGAGGACTCGGAGGAATCGGACACGGTCTTGGAGGACTCGGAGGAATCGGATACGGTCTGGGAGGTTTTGGAGGCCTCGGCAGTGGCTACGGGATCGGCTCTGGACTGCCTCTGTACAGCTCCGGCTACCAGAACGGTGGCTACTTCGGCTAGGCAGAGATTCGCAGCTTGGAGCCGTATTGCTCTCTAAGGTGACTCTAGTCTGTATATGCTCCAAGGTAGCTTCAGTGACCAGAGCAGCAATGATACACACTACACACTGGAGCCAACTTGGAACATATTCACACTAGAGCAACCTTGGAACATGCTACATATTAGAACCAGCTTGGAAGAGTTAAACACTAGTGGTACTGTGGACACACTAAAAGTGAGCACTGGGTGACGATATGGCCTACGGTGAGAACCACTGGCCATAAGTAGCCGTAAGGGCCACTGAATGGTGGCCACACCAGCTAGGAACCACTGAACACCGTTACATAGGACAACAGCCATAGAGACCCCTTGTATCTCTGTACCTCTGTGGCTCGGCAAAGATCTCATCTACCGTCCTGTTCTTCAGTCAATAAATTACTTCAGCATTCAATGTGATTTAAATATCCTGTACTGCACTTGAATGGGGAGAAAGACTGAATTGGATTTGGTGGGAAAAGTGTACTGGAAGTGCTGGGGGGGGGGGGGGGGGGGGGGGGGAGTGTGTAGTAAAGTTTTAAAGACTGTGTTTTACAGTCTCCGTGGTGTAGTGGTAAGACACTCGCCTGGCGTTCCGCGAGCGCTATGTCATGGGTTCGTATCCTGGCCGGGGAGGATTTACTGGGCGCAATTCCTTAACTGTAGCCTCTGTTTAACGCAACAGTAAAATGTGTACTTGGATGAAAAAACGATTCTTCGCGGCAGGGGATCGTATTCCAGGGACCATAGGATTAAGGACTTGCCCGAAACGCTACGCGTACTAGTGGCTGTACAAGAATGTAACAACTCTTGTATATATCTCAAAAAAAAAAAAAAAAAAAAAAAAAAAGTTGTGTGGAGGCTGCTGGGGGGGGGGGAGATGGGGACACCAGGCCCATTACCATCCACCCTCCCCCCCCCAACCCACTCGCAACACAAATACTCTTGAAGAAGAAACAAGCAAACTAAATTCTGGTAATTTCCGAAACTTTTGCGGTAATTATCTTACGCTAAAGCGGTGTTTGTGCGTCTTTTTTTTATTAATTATAATAAGTAATTAAATAGGCTTTCTTAATATGCAGAGAATGACGCTATAATGACAAATGACAAATTTGGGGAAATTTTATACGGGGAGTTGTTCTCACTGATTCTAGAGGATATTGAGATAACCAGAGATGAAGGAGGCTGCACCTCAAGGAGCCAGACACGGGTAAGGCACTGGTTGAGATATCACCGTTTCTACTAGAAGACTGAGCAGGTGACATGTCTACTTGCTATAATCCACTTAAATAATAAGCCGCTGGGAACAGGAGAACTACCAGAGGTAATTACCAGGAGAGAGAGTACTAAGCCATATGTGAGAGAGAGTACTAAGCCATATGTGAGAGAGAGTACTAAGCCAGTGTGAATATTCATCCCATCCTTGTCTTTGGGAGGTAGTTACAGTAACGATAACTTACTATAAGTAACGGCGCCGTGGAAAGGGGGGGGGACCTGCTGCTTGGGTAACAGCTTCTCCGTATCAATCTACCCTGGCTTTGCGCCCTGGAGAGGCCACACCAGAGCGCAACTCCATAGTCTCCTGAGACTGATGGGTGCCTACCCTACAGTAACGATGAGGACAGTATATATACCGACCTACAGCACAATTAGAAAGTAAAAATCGGTACCATTGAATTTGGACAAAGCAGAAAAGATTTGATATTTATGTTGCAAAGACAAACTACCCTAACGTAACCATTCTAGGCCTAATACACGATATCTAAGGCCTATAGAGTGCATATGTGTGCTACACTAGGCCTAGGAATATTAAAGTTTGTTTTTAGCTTAATTTTTCGGACTCTATAAAGTGAATAGAACAAAATACTACTAATTGCTTAGAACGTCAATCTGTGTACTATGGTGCACATAGTTATAAAAACTACTATGTAAACAGGAGGATGGGTTGGAATATGCAACACTTATAAAGGATGTGAAATTAAGCATTTGGGGTAGGATGGAGAGGGAATGGTGCCCAACAACTTGAACCGTCGGGGATCGAACGGCGACCTGCAAGAAGCTATGCATCGCTGTGCTGACCAGTCCAAGTGGTTGGGTGAGAACTACCAGAGTGTTGGAAGACAGCTAATATCGGGCAAATGTATGTATAAGGGGGAACAAGAGAAAATAAACCACAGGCAAGTATTGTGTCTTGTTTACAAACCATACACAGTGATGGAGAATACCTTAAACATGAGACCAGCAGAAGGCAACACTAACAGTGTCAGAGATGCCAAATACTCTCACACAAACTTGATACAGTTTGTCGTGGCACAGTCGCTGACCCTGTCGTGGCACAGTCGCTGACCCTGTCGTGGCACAGTCGCTGACCCTGTCGTGGCACAGTCGCTGACCCTGTCGTGGCACAGTCGCTGACCCTGTCGTGGCACAGTCGCTGACCCTGTCGTGGCACAGTTGCTGACCCTGTCGTGGCACAGTCGCTGACCCTGTCGTGGCACAGTCGCTGACCCTGTCGTGGCACAGTTGCTGACCCTGTCGTGGCACAGTCGCTGACCCTGTCGTGGCATAGTCGACTAGAGTATGCCTGCAAACACCCAGCGCACAGGTTCGAATCCTCATCACGGCTCCTGTGGATTTGTTCACTGATACAGTTCTATTACTGGGCGATCGAACTCGGACAAGAACCAGGAAGGGTGTGCGAATTGTATATTTTGGATTGTCAGAAAGCCTTTGACCCCCCCCCCCCACAGGAGACTATTTCCCAAATATGAGAAATAGACATGAGTAACAGCATGTTTTCCAGTATATAAAGAACATCTGCAACAGAATACTGAGTCACAGTAAAAGGAGAGAGTCTCAAAGTGGGTGTCTCACAGGCGGGACCAAAGAGACAAAGCTCAACCCACGCAAGCACAACTAGGTGAGTACAGGGAGTCAAATCCTTTTCCTAATATGTGAACAACTTTCCAGAGGAGACAGAATTCTTTCCCTCAACGTTTGCTGATACAAAAATGTTGAGGAAGGAACAGACATACTATTGAAAACTGAAAGAAACTAGAGAATGACCTGAGCAATTAAAGAATGATCCAGCAATAGATTAATAGAGTTTAACTCAAGAAAATGCAATGTAATGCAACAGGGTTCCGGTAATAGACGATCGAACACAAGATACCATATGAGACTGGAAACCCCACTTGGTATCGGTGAAAATAAATTAAGGGTTACTATTATATGGAGTCTGTCATCAGAAGGCCACATCAAACAAATATCATTTGAACATGGAAGGAAAAGAACTGCCTTTAGGAGCCTAAATCAAAATATGTTGTTCAGGATCTTGTATGTCAGACTAACGTGGAGTCATAGTCTCGTTAAACACAAAATTAACCTTGAGAAGTTCAGTGGTATGATATCAGAGTTGTCCCCGAGTTGAGAGGATTGAGTTACAAGAAAAGTCTAATAGGATTAGGCACTTAACGTCACTACAAGAGAGAAGAATCAGGGGCGATATGATTATCACACAAAAGTATTACTGAAATTTGAAGGGCAAACAAGAAAAACCAATTTAACATTCGTGGTACCCGAACTAAGCGTTCAAGTGAGCCACAGAATCATTCTAAAGAATTTTGTCCAGTATCAGACATGATGAACAGATAGAAAGCACTAAGAAGTAAGGTGGTTAAGTCTGACTCTATACACAGCTTCAATTATGGGAATGGCAGATTCCAAATTGGTCCCGGAACCTGCACACAAGCTTATTAAAGGTTGAAAGGTGGGATTAATGAATTCAAGCGGAACCACCGTAAGCACAAGTAGATGAGTACAACCACACACACACACACACACACACACACACACACACACACACACACACACACACACACACACACACACACACACACACACACACACACACATTCCAAGACCACACGAAGGCTATGTCAGGTAGGCAGGAAGAGAAGCCACCTCCCCGGGGTCCACCCACACCACCACCTTGTGGTCGGAACTGACCTCCAAGTGAACGATCCCTGACCGCTCGTCACCCATCACAACTCCCAGAAGGTCTATTGACCTGTGACTACGTGATGCTGATGGAGACCTATGACGTCATTATACCCTTAGCTTCATGTGACGTCACTATACTCAAAGCGTCAAGTGACGTCATAACATGCGAGCTCCAATCAGCAGTTGGCAACACAAGCTCCGCTTGATTGGTACTGAAAACTCTGCCACAAATGTTTCTTTTTTTTATCTGGTAAAGATTGAGTGTTGTGAGTTTACATTTTCCAGGTGTGTGAAGGAGCGGATGTGTGGAGGCGCCAAGCGTGGCGAGAACAGCTGACCGTGGCCTCCCACTCTCTACATGAGCTATAAGTAACTAGTTCTGCTAGTACCTTTAGTAAATATTCCTTTCTAGTGTTTCAGGTAGGTGATCCTACTAGTCCTACACGTAACTAGTCCTCCTAGTGCCACCTAGAACTAACTAAGCTCTCCACCCACTTTCGCATACAGAGTGGTAGACGGTTGGAACAAGTTAGGTGAGAAGGTGGTGGATGCCAAGACCGTCAGTAGTTTCAAAACGTTATATGACAAAGAGTACTGGGAAGACAGGACACCACGAGCGTAGCTCTCATCCTGTAACTACACTTAGGTGATTACCCCTTTCCCCATGAGTAGATATTTCCATTTATGTCAAATAAATCATACAAATGCGCAGGTAAATGGCGGGAGTAAGGTCAAAACACTACGGATAACACATCTACGATTTCATTTCCGACTTTATTAAAATCGTTCAGGTGGGTGGGATTGGTTACAGTTTATGTTTCTTATAGACTTTAACAATGGCCAGCCCCAGCCAGCCTATGTTGGTTCCGTACCCCAGTGCATTCTCCCTGCATATTTGAGTGAGGCTAGCTCCAAGCATCTGGCCTCCGACCTTGGACAGACAGGCAAACACATTCTTTCATATATATATATATATATATATATATATATATATATATATATATATATATATATATATATATATATATATATATATATATATTGGTAAATGTACTTCCTTGCAGGGCAGTAACATTCTCTCCCACACGAGTGGTGTCGGGGACGGTCACGGTCATTCATATAACAGATCACAAAATTGTCCTGGTGACTTTCACCCGCGTGACGCAAAAAATATGTCATGCACCTTTGCGTCCTAGTTCGAGTTCCTTGTGTCCTTTCACGGCCGCTAGTTCTACCCTTCGTCAGCAGGATGGCTGTGTGTGTGTGTGTGTGTGTGTGTGTGTGTGTGTGTGTGTGTGTGTGTGTGTGTGTGTGTGTGTGTGTGTATATATATAGATGCTGTGGGTCCCTCCTCGCTCCCACTCATCTCCTAGTCGTGGAGTGAGATGCTGTTGATATTATGTGGCTGAGTGA